AAGGCCAGCCTGGTCTACAAAAAGAGTTCCAGGATGGTCAGAGCTGTTACTCAGAGAAACCCTTCACTGGGAAAAAAAATGGACAAACAAAAATATCATTTTTTTTTACTCTGAGAGCAGCCATCATAAAGATGCAATATCGAAGCAATTCCACAAATGCAAAGCTGACCCTACTTGCTACAGCCAATACTAGAGCATTTGCTGGTTATTGGAGATTTTCACAATTAATACCAATACATAGCACTTAGGGCAGAAGGAATGTGAACATCTCAGAGCAGAAAGAATTATTAGAAAGTATAGAAGAAGAGTGAAGACCTTGAAAGTGGAAGAATTGTCCGGGTCACAAGAAACTGGAGAAAAACTCTAGTTGTTCTGTGTTATTAACACAGTTTTGCTAAGTGGTTTATGAATAGCACAATATTTGTTGATTTCTTGGTGGAGGATTGATTCTGTTTTTATAAACTATACCATCACCATTTGAAGCAGGAGGTTTTTAGATTTTCTTAAATTTTCGTGGAGAATCAAAATTTAATGTAAAACCGTGGGGCAGAATGCCTTTAATCTGCTGTATTCTTGAAAAAGAGAATAGCACTTGTACAACGCAAGGTGGCGCTGCAGGCTAAAAAGAGGAAAGGGAAAGGGAAGGGACGAAAATGCACAAAGGATAGTCTAGATTTCCGACAAAGCCTTAGGAAATGACGCGGCAGTAGCAAGCGCTGGGAGAAGGTGCCTCTCGCTTTTCATAGGAAATCTTAGTGTCCTAAGGATTCCGCTGCTGGCATTCCAGGGAGCTGCTTGAGGCAAAGTGGAAGGATTTCTGGCTTTATTTTGAAAGCCTTAGAAAGAATGGAGGTCAGATTGGAGCGAGCTGGGCAGAAAAGGCAAGTACTGTTTCTCTGTGTGTTTCTGGGAGCTGCTTGGGTTGGCGCCGAACAGCTTCAGTATTCTGTTGCGGAGGAAACTGAGAGGGGCACTTTCCTGGCCAATCTAGCTAAGGATATAGGGTTGGGGCTGGAGGAACTGTCAGCTCGGGGGGCTAGAATTGTTTCAGACCAGAACACGGGCTTTTTACTGCTCAGCACGCTTACTGGAGACTTAATTCTGAATGCAAAGCTGGACCGGGAGGAGCTGTGCGGCCCCACGGAGCCCTGTGTGCTGACGTTCCAGGTGCTGTTGGAAAACCCATTTCAGATTCACCGCGCTGCACTGCATGTCAGAGATATAAATGATAATTCCCCAATATTTCTAGACAAAGAAATTCCCTTGAAAATATCAGAAAGTGCAACTCCTGGGGCGAAGTTTCTGCTGGAGAGGGCGCTGGATTCCGACGTGGGGACAAACAGCTTGAGGAACTACACCATCAGTGCCAATGCCTATTTCCACATTCACGTGCACGATGGAGGGGAGGGCACTATCATCCCTGAATTGGTACTGGATCAAACGCTGGACCGAGAAGAAATAGCAGAGTTCACCTTAACTCTCACAGCCTTAGATGGTGGATCTCCACCCAGGTCTGGGACAGCCCTGGTGCGCATCCTGGTGTTGGACATAAATGACAACTCCCCTGAATTCGTGCAGTCCCTCTACAAAGTACAGTCACTTGAAAACACTCCTGTTGGTTCCTTGGTTGTTGCCGTGTCTGCTAGGGATTTAGACACGGGAAATTACGGACAGATAGCATACGCATTTTTTTATGCCACCGAAAGAATTCTCCAAACGTTTCAAATCAACTCTACGACTGGCGATCTTTATCTTAAAGGTGAACTCAACTACGAAGCGATTCAAACTTACTCGATAACGATACAGGCCAAAGATGGCGGGGGACTTTCTGGAAAATGCACTGTGGTTGTAGAGGTAATGGATGTAAACGATAACGCACCTGAACTTCTCTTGTCGTCGCTTACGAGCCCGATTGCAGAGAACTCACCAGAGACAGTCGTTGCTGTTTTCAGAATCAGAGACAGAGATTCGGGAAACAATGGGAAAACCATGTGCTCCATTCCGCATGATCTCCCCTTTATCCTGAAGCCATCAGTGGAAAACTTCTATACTCTAGTAACAGAGACGCCTTTAGATAGAGAATCGCAAACCGAGTACAACATCACCATCACAGTCAGCGACCTGGGCACACCCAGGCTCACAACCCAGCACACCATAACAGTGCAGGTCTCCGACGTCAACGACAATGCCCCCGCCTTCAATCAAAGCTCCTACACCCTGTTTGTCCAAGAGAACAACAGCCCCGCCCTGCACATAGGCACCATCATCGCCACAGACTCAGACTCAGGCTCCAATGCCCACATCACCTACTCGCTGCTGCCAACCCACTACCCGAAGCTGGATCTCTCCTCGCTCATCTCCATCAATGCCAACAACGGGCAGCTGTTCGCGCTCAGGGCGCTGGACTACGAGGCCCTGAAGACCTTCGAGTTCCTCGTGGGTGCCACAGACCAAGGCTCGCCCGCGCTCAGCAGCCAGGCGCTGGTGCACGTCCAGATTCTGGACGCCAACGACAATGCGCCCTTCGTGCTCTACCCTCTGCAGAACGCCTCTGCTCCCTTCACAGAGCTGCTGCCCAGGGCGGCAGAGCCAGGATACCTGGTCACCAAGGTGGTGGCTGTGGACCGCGACTCGGGACAGAATGCCTGGCTGTCATTCCAGCTGCTCAAGGCCACAGAGCCAGGGCTGTTCAGCGTGTGGGCTCACAATGGCGAGGTGCGCACCTCCAGGCTGCTGAGTGAGCGCGATGCGCCCAAGCACAGGCTGCTGCTGCTGGTCAAGGACAATGGCGATCCTCCGCGGTCTGCCAGTGTCACTCTGCAGGTGCTGCTGGTGGATGGCTTCTCTCAGCCCTACCTGCCTCTACCAGAGGTGGCGCGCGACCCCTCCCAAGATGAGGATGCGCTCACGCTATACCTGGTCATTGCCTTGGCATCTGTGTCTTCGCTCTTCCTCTTGTCTGTGCTTCTGTTCGTGGGAGTGAGGCTGTGCAGGAGATCCAGGGCGTCCTCTCCAAGTGGCTGCTCTGCGCCTGAGGGACACTTTCCTGGTCACCTGGTGGATGTCAATGGGACAGGGACTCTGTCTCAGAGCTACCAATATGAGGTGTGTCTGACTGGAGGGTCAGGGATAACCAGCGAATTTAATTTCCTAAAGCCAATTGCCCCCAACTTCTTAACCGAAAGCACAGGGAGAGAAGTAGACTAAAAGCTAAGCCCTTTTGCCAGGGGATACAGCCCTAGTTTAAAGCATGCCCTTGTTTCCTGTAGGGGAATTATTTTATGCTAACATCGTGAGGTTAGTTAAATTAGTTCAGAAAAGAACTCCTTTGCTTATTCCCAAGAACTTTCCCTCATGCATGAAATTCATGTGATGTGAGCTATCTAAAATTTGATTTGATTCCTCTTTGTTTCTAAGCAGTTGTTGAATTGTGGCCTCTTCAATGACAAATCTTGCTAGGGGTGGTTTAAACAGTTTTTCCATCATCTAACTGATTCATTGATATTTATGTTCCGAGTTGAATGAAGTCGAAAAATCCCTGCCTTACATTTGGGGAGGTTATACTCCACAGAATTTCCTTAAGTTTCTTTAGTAATTGCTGTTCATCTTACATAGCTCTTTGGAGACACGGTCCCTCTGTGTCGAAGATGGCTGTGAACTGTTGATCCTCCTGCCTCAGATCCAGTGCTAGCATTTTAGGTATCAGTCTATGTTGTTACTTTATTTCAGAAGAAACCAACGAGTAGAGGTTTTTCAGTAATGAGCAAGTAGACATTCGTAGAGGCTTGGTAAGTCCCATGATTACTAACCGGCAAAGCAGAGCACCTCCTAATTCCTTCTGCTTTATTTTTCTTGTTTAAAGTGTTAGAGAGTCCTCATTCTGTCCATCTCCAGGTATGCTATTCTCTGTCACTAGGTATCATCTGTGGTGCTCACCCTGCTCACCAGTCTCTCTTGTGTTCAGACACAGCAATACTCCTCTTGGCCTGTAGTCTTATTTCCTTATAAACCCGCAATCCCTCTTTGGGGGTTCATTACCTAACTAATATTAAAGTTCTGACTTAACTAACTCTCAAGTTCCAAAAACGTTGGGTTCTGGCACGGCACAACACGCCTTGAATCCCCGCACTTGGGAGGCAGACACAGGAGGATCTCTGTGAGTCTGAGTAAAATGTCCATGATAGCCAAGGCTGCACTGAGAGACCCTGCAGAGAGGAGGGGAGGAGGGGAGGAGGAGGAAGAGTTTTTCTACATTAGATTTCCATATATTTTTTGAGTTACTCTCCCTCCACATCTGTTTCTCATTTGTAATATGGGGAGTTCACAAAAATCCTGGAACCTAGATGCTGATATCTCATCTGGAGATGAGGAAACTAAGGCAGAGAAGTTAAATAATTTGTCCAAGGATCACAACTGCTTCTGTGGTTCTTCACACTAAAGGTCTACAATTCCTCAAACTTTGTTCCTAGAAACATACATGCACACACTTAAGTATATATTTCTTGCATATATTTTTCCTTCCAGGCTGTTATTTAAATATGTGGCCTTTGTTCAAATCTCAGTTAGCATTATTGAAAGGATCTCCACCCATGCCATTTCTCTTGTGTAGCTTTCGGGCAGTTGTCTGCCCAAGAAGACAAAGCAATAGGAGAGGTAATGCAACCTTACCTTGCCCACCACCAGATACAGGCAACTTTAGTTTTTTTACATCAATTTTCATGCCACGAAATGTTAAGATACAATGAGAACGCTTGGTGGCGCTGCAGGATAAGAAAGTAAAAGTAGAAGGCAGCTGTGGAGGAAAAAAAGGAAAAGAAAAAAATTGCTGAAGCCTGGAAGCCCAGAGAAGCTCGGACACCTCAGAGAGGAGGTCTGTGCCCTCGGGAAAGGACTGGAGTAATTCTCAGGTATCTAGTGAGATAACTACAGTACCAGATACCAGGGGAATTTACAGTTCTGCTGAAACATCCTCCAGGACGCTCGCTGCACCAGCACAAACAATGGAGGCCAGCAGGAAGCTCACTGGCAGACAAAGGCAAGTCCTTTATTTCTTTTTCCTATTAGGGTTATGTCTGGCGAGTGCAGGGGAACTGAAGCGCTATTCTGTGGTTGAGGAAAGGGAGGGTAGGTCCTTTGTAACCAATTTAGTAAATGACCTAGGTCTTGGGCAGATGGAGCTCTCCAGACGAGGGGCTAAGGTCATTTCTAAAGGGAACAAACTACATTTGCAGCTGGATCGGGAGACAGGAGATTTGCTCTTAACTGAGAAAGTGGACCGGGAGGAACTGTGTGGGCACACGGAGCCATGCCTGCTACGTTTCCAAGTGTTGCTAGACAATCCCTTAGAGATTTTTCAAGCTGAGCTAGAAGTAACAGACATAAATGACCACTCTCCAGCATTCGTGGACAAAGAAATCTTGCTAAAGATATCAGAAAGCAGTCTTCCTGGGACTATATTTCCTCTGAAGAATGCTCAGGACATGGATGTAGGCCAAAATGGTATTGATAACTACCATATCAGTTCCAATTCCTACTTTCATGTGCTCACTCGAAAACGCAGCGATGGCAAGAAATATCCTGAGCTGGTTCTAGACAGAGCTCTGGATAGAGAGGAGGAAGCTGAGCTCAAGTTAATCCTCACAGCTCAGGATGGCGGCTCGCCACCTAGGTCTGGCATCACTGAGGTCCACATTGAAGTCCTGGACATCAATGACAATGCTCCCCAGTTTGAACAGCTTTTTTACAGGGTACAGATCCCAGAGGATAGTCCAATAGGCTTTCTGGTCGTCACCATTTCCGCTACGGATAAGGACATAGGAGTCCATGGGGAGATCTCCTATTCACTTTTCCAGGCGTCAGATGACATCAGCAAAACCTTTTCGATCCACCCCTTGACTGGGGAGGTGCGACTGAGAGAGCAACTTGATTTTGAAAAGACTCAGTTCTATGAAGTCAATGTTGAGGCCAGGGACACTGGAACCTTTTCTGGAAAATGCACGATTCTGACCCAAGTCATGGATGTGAATGACCATGCTCCAGAGATTATCCTGTCTGCATTTACCAACCCCATCCCTGAGAATTTGCCAGAAACTATGGTGGCAGTGTTTAGTGTATCTGATCTAGATTCAGGAGAAAACGGCAAAACAAGTTGTTCCATTCAGGACGATCTACCTTTCTTCCTAAAGCCTTCTGGAGAAAACTTTTACACACTATTAACACAGAACGCACTTGACAGAGAGACTACGGCAGAATACAACATCACCATCAGTGTTGCAGACATGGGGAGTCCCATACTGAGAACACAAGTCAATATAACAGTGCAGGTCTCAGACATCAACGACAACGCCCCCGCCTTCACTCAAACCTCCTACACACTCTTTGTTCAAGAGAACAACAGCCCCGCCCTGCACATAGGCACCATCAGCGCCACAGACTCAGACTCAGGCTCCAATGCCCACATCACCTACTCGCTGATGCCCACTCACGACCCGCAGCTGGATCTCTCCTCGCTCATCTCCATCAACGCCGACAATGGGCAGCTGTTCGCGCTCAGGGCGCTGGACTACGAGGCCCTGAAGACCTTCGAGTTTCATGTGGGAGCCACGGACCAAGGCTCGCCCGCCCTCAGTAGCCAGGCGCTGGTGCGCGTGCTGGTGCTGGACGCCAACGACAATGCGCCCTTCGTGCTCTACCCGCTGCAGAATGCCTCTGCGCCCTACACAGAGCTGCTGCCCAGAGCGGCTGAACCTGGCTATCTGGTCACCAAGGTGGTGGCTGTGGACCGCGACTCGGGACAGAATGCCTGGCTGTCATTCCAGCTGCTGAAGGCCACGGAGCCCGGACTGTTCAGCGTGTGGGCTCACAATGGCGAGGTGCGCACCTCCAGGCTGCTGAGTGAGCGCGATGCGCCCAAGCACAGGCTACTGCTGCTGGTCAAGGACAATGGCGATCCTCCGCGGTCTGCCAGTGTCACTCTGCAGGTGCTGCTGGTGGATGGCTTCTCTCAGCCCTTCCTGCCTCTACCGGAGGTGGCGCGCGACCCCGCCCAAGATGAGGATGAGCTCACGCTGTACCTGGTTATTGCCTTGGCATCTGTGTCTTCTCTCTTCCTCTTGTCTGTTCTGCTGTTTGTGGGTATGAGGCTGTGCAAGAGGGCCAGAGCGTCCTCTCTGGGTGGCTGCTCTGTGCCTGAAGGACACTTTCCTGCCCACCTGGTGGATGTCAGCGGGGCAGGGACCCTGTCCCAGAACTACCAGTATGAGGTGTGTCTGACAGGGGACTCTGGAACTGATGAGTTCAAATTCCTGAAACCAATTTTACCTAATTTCCAAGACCATCCTCTTGGACCAGAAATGGGTGAAAATTCCGACTCTAGAAACGACTGGGGTTTCGGCATTCAGTTAAAATAGCTTCTTTTTTTTTTTTATCATGTGTAGTGTGTTGTTGTTAGCTCAAACTACTATTTTTGATGTGCCCATCGTGAACATTTGAAGCCTGCCGAAAGCTTGTTTGCAGCATATTCCAGCCATCGTTTTAGTGAGGCTGTCTCATCTTTAATCCAGACCGAAGATGAAATGTTCTAATCTTGTCTTTCTAACGTGTCTCTTTTCGTACAAATCTTGCTGTGGGATAGCTTAGGAATGTACAAGAAAGGAAGTGGAAAATCCTTTCAGCCCAATCCAACGCAGCTCAGTGTGTGTGCTCTTCCCAGTTGTTAGCCATCGAGTACACAATACACAGCATTGCTCGGATGCAAGGAGATCTAATCAGAAATGGGAACGAAGGGGCACTGAGGGGCCTGGCTTTTGCTTTATTCGGCCTCCACTGGACTAACTTTGATGTTGGTGTTGTTGTTAAAAAATGTTCCCTAGCTGCATGTCTCTTCATTAGCCTGTTGTTGCTTTTAATATCACTGTCTTAAACTGCTTTCTGCTGCGTTTTGTTGGTACGGAGGAGGATTCAGAAAGCCTTCCCCTATTTTCCTGGTAAGCTGAAATAGTGTGGCTGTAAAATTGGCTTTTCTCTTCTGAGAAATATTTGTGCATACCAATATTTACTCTTTTCCCCTTTAGTTTTTGCATTTTGTTTTTGTGTTTGTTTGTTTATTTGTTTGTCTGAGACAGAGTTTCTCTGTGTAACAGTCCTGGTTGTCCTGGAACTCAATTTGTAGACCAAGTTGAGTACCACTGATATTTCAATCTCCAAGAACACTATTAAAGGGAGATGTCTCATGTGAAACTTGATTTTCACCTTTTTGACCTGAAATGTGATTCTCAACCTGTGGGTCTCTATCCCTCTGGGGTCACATATCAGATATCTTGCCTACCAGATACTTACATTAATATTTACAACAGTAGCAATATTACAGTTATGAAGTAGCCGCAAAATAATTTTATGGGTGAGGGACACCACAACATAAGGAACTGTAAAGGGTCACAGCATTATTAGAAGGTTGAGAACCACTGCTTTACCACTGTGTCCTCCCTGGGATGTGTACAGTGTGCTGAGTGCACAGATCACCCTGGAGGATCTGGGATAGCAATGGAGGGCTAAAATAGTGGGGGATGAGCTTAAAAGAGACAGCATCCCTGGTGACTAAGGAGTTGTCACATCATTCCCTGTGCTGCCCATTTCTGATTATATGTAGGTGTGTCTGCATGCGGGTATGCACATATGAGTGCAAGTACGCTCAGAGGACAGAGGCATTGGATCCCTTTGATCTGGAGCACAGAAGGCTCTGAGCTGCCTGTCCTAGATTTTGAAGACCAAACTCAGGTCCTCTGCAAAAGCAACAAGTACTCTCAACCACAGAGCAGTCTCTCCAGACCTTACTTTCATTATATTTTAAATATTTTCCCAAACCCTATGTGGGTTACAATTATTCCTGTGTGTGTGTGTGTGTGTGTGTGTGTAGCAATATCACTTGTTGTCAAATGAAGATACATAAAAATCATTATAACAAGAGTTTAGGTTTCATTGGCTTGAGGAACCCAACTAACAACTTCTAGAGCCCTTAGCAAAACAATGAATTAATAAGGGTATCAAGGATATCAATGTCTATGTGGTACTGAAGTTCAAATCCTGAGTCTCGTGCATGTTAAATGTGCTCTATCACTGAACTTCCTGCCCTGCCCTTCGTGAATTTTCACTGCAATTCAATTCAAACTATAAGAACAGAAAATCTAAATAAAAGAATACAAAGATAATCCAAACTTTCAATATAGAATTTAAACTCTATTTTTAAATTTAAATAGAATTTAATATAAGTTTAAATCTATTTTAAACTCTCAGTATTGTTATTAAAAGATGAACAATTCAATTAAACAAAGACCAGAATAGATATTTTCTGAAAAAGATATACCAATGATTAGGATGCACCCAAAAAGCTATACAACATTGCTCAGCAAATAAACATCACAGCAAGACACTCAGAACTCCTAGGATGGCAAGGACCAAAAAGAGCCAAATCAGTGTTGGGAGGTTGTCATAATTTTGAAACCCTGACACACAACTGAAGAAATGGAAAATGCTGCAGCCATTTTTTTTAAAAACATTCTGTCAGTTTTTCAAATGGACAAACATAGAGCTCATCATGGGTTAAGCAATTCAACTCCTAGAGAAATAATGTATGTTCACATAAAATATATACATGAGGTGGGCTGTGGTGGTGCTCACTTTTAGGGATCCAGAGGCAGGTAGATCTAAGTTTGAGGCCAGCCTGGTCTACAGGCCTAATTCCAGGACATCCAAGACTACACAGAGAAACTCTATCTCAGAAAACCAAATGTGTGTATACATATATGATTCTTCATAGCAACATTGTTTGTGAAAAGCAAAAGGGTAGAACGATTCCAAATGCCCAAATAAACATGAGCCTGCTATATCCAGGAAAAGTAATGAAATACTGACACATGCTAGAATTTGGACGAACCTTTAAACCATCAGGGCAAGGGAGGGAAGCTGACCAGCCTCAAAGGTCCACATATTCTGTCATTCCATTAGTATGGAAGTCTACAATAGAGAACTCTGTCTAGACCAAAAGAGGAGACTAATGGTTCCTTTGGGCTCTGCTCAGGAGAAACGAGAAAATAAGATGATCGTTAAGGGATGTGAGGTACTTCTTTGATGTAAGATATACAGTCCAGAACTGACCTTGGTAATGGGTGCACCACTTTGTGTATATATTAAAAGGCTCTAAGTTTTAAACCTTAAAAGAATGCATTCAATTATATGTTATATCCCAAAGATGTATATTAGAAAACGCAAGAATTATTCTTGCCAAATATAAAAATCAATCCAGGCCCACATAAGTCTATTTATGAAATGATTTTCTGGTAACTGAACATTGGGAAGACTTACAATTCTTTCCCTTGGATGTTCAGAGAAGGAATCCATTTGTTCCTTAATAAAGCACGTCTACACTCTATACACTGGCTGGAATTTTGCATTGTCTACTCATTTGTGACTCTACTGTGTATGTTGAAAATGTGTGTACGTGAAACATTCGCCGTGCTACCTTCGAAACTTTACCCCTCGATGCAAATGTTGCTTACGCTACCTTATTTAGTCATTGACATCGGCAGCGTTACATACCCAATACCATGAATGAAAACTTATTTTTGTATTTAGTTTCATATAATACCTCAGTAATGTACTTATACACACAAAAGTAACTTGAAAAAAGTTAGTGATTCCTATTATATAACTTAGTCCACATGTCTTGGAGAATTTTGTCTCTTGTTAAATCTGAACCTGTAAGGGCCAGTGAGACCGCGCGGTGGCGCTGCAGGTTAAGAAGACAGAGCATAGGAATTGCTTCTGCAATCGCCTTTTCAGGGCCAGTTTCTCACCACCTAGAAGCAAAAGATAAGCTCTTCCGCCAAAGCAAAGGCGCGTGTAAACCTTAAATATTCGATTTGGAGGCTTGATTCTGACTTTCTGGACTGTGAGACAGTGCTGTTAGGATCCTGGGCATATGTGAAGCTACTGTGGAGCAAACAGGAAAGAGGAAAGAGCCATGGAGACTGCGCGGATGCACAAACTGAGACAAAGGCAAGTCCTGGCTTTCTTTGTTTTGCTGAGTGTGTCTGAGGCAGGCAGGGAGCTCGGTCCCTATTCCATAGAGGAAGAGATGGAGAGGGGCTCCTTTGTGGCAAATCTTGGGAAAGATCTGGGGGTGGAACTGGCAGAGATATCCACCCGCAGGGCTCGGATCATTTCCCGGGAAAACAGAGAGCACCTGCAGCTCAATGTTCAGTCTGGAGATTTGCTCATAAGTGAGAAGCTAGATCGAGAGGAGCTATGCGGCTCCACTGAGCCCTGTGTTCTGCACTTCCAAGTGTTAATGGAAAACCCTTTGGAGGTATTTCAGGCTGAACTGAGGGTGAAGGACATAAATGACCATTCTCCAGTGTTCACTGAAAAAGAAATGATGCTGAGGATACCAGAAAACAGTCCTCTGGGAACCACATTCCCTTTAAATAATGCTCTGGACTCAGATGTAGAAATCAACAATATTCAGAGCTATCAAGTCAGCTCCAACTCTCATTTCCTGGTTGTCACCCGCAACCGCAGTGATGGCAGGAAGTACCCAGAGCTGGTGCTGGAGAAAGAACTGGATCGGGAGGAGGAGCCTGAGCTGAGGTTAACCCTGATAGCCTTGGATGGTGGCTCTCCTCCCCGGTCTGGGTTGGCGCGGGTTCTCATTGAAGTAGTGGACATCAACGACAATTCCCCCGAGTTTCAGCAGTCAACTTACCAAGTGCAAATTCCGGAGAACCTCTCTCCGGGGTCCCTGGTCGTCACAGTCTCAGCCAATGACTTAGACAGTGGAGATAATGCGAAAGTACTGTACGCACTCTCTCAGCCTTCAGAAGATATCAGCAAGACATTAGAAGTAAATCCAGTAACGGGGGAAGTTCGGCTAAGAAAAGAGGTAGATTTTGAAACAATTCCCTCTTATGAAGTGGATATCAAGGCCACGGATGGGGGAGGTCTCTCGGGAAAATGCACGCTGCTCCTGCAGGTGGTGGATGTGAACGACAACCCCCCAGAAGTGATGCTATCTGCACTTAACAGCCCAGTTCCAGAAAACTCTCCGGATGAGGTAGTTGCTGTTTTCAGTGTTAGAGATGCTGACTCAGGGAACAATGGGAAGGTGGTTTCCGCCATCCAGGAGGACCTTCCTTTTCTTCTAAAACCTTCAGGAAAGAAGTTTTACACTTTAATAACGAAGAGAGCGCTAGACAGGGAAGAAAAAGAGCAGTACAACATTACCATAACAGCCACCGACCTGGGCACACCCCGGCTCACATCCCAGCACACCATAACAGTGCAGGTCTCTGACGTCAACGACAACGCCCCCGCCTTCACTCAAAGCTCCTACACCCTGTTTGTCCAAGAGAACAACAGCCCTGCCCTGCACATAGGCACCATCAGCGCCACAGACTCAGACTCGGGCTCCAATGCCCACATCACCTTCTCGCTGCTGCCAACCCAGGACTCACAGCTGGACCTGTCCTCGCTCATCTCCATCAATAGCGACAATGGACAGCTGTTCGCGCTTAGGGCACTGGACTATGAGGCCCTGCAGAGCTTCGAGTTCCTCGTGGGTGCCACAGACCAAGGCTCGCCCGCTCTCAGTAGCCAGGCGCTGGTGCGCGTGCTGGTGCTGGATGCCAACGACAACGCACCCTTCGTGCTCTACCCGCTGCAGAACGCCTCTGCGCCCTACACAGAGCTGCTGCCCAGGGCAGCGGAGCCAGGATACCTGGTCACCAAGGTGGTAGCTGTGGACCGCGACTCAGGTCAGAATGCCTGGCTGTCATTCCAGCTGCTCAAGGCCACGGAGCCCGGACTGTTCAGCGTGTGGGCTCACAATGGCGAGGTGCGCACCTCCAGGCTGCTGAGTGAACGCGATGCGCCCAAGCACAGGCTGCTGCTGGTGGTCAAGGACAATGGCGATCCTCCGCGGTCTGCCAGTGTCACTCTGCAGGTGCTGCTGGTGGATGGCTTCTCTCAACCTTACCTGCCTCTGCCTGAGGTGGCGCGCGACCCTGCCCAAGATGAGGATGCGCTCACGCTGTACCTGGTCATTGCCTTGGCATCTGTGTCTTCGCTCTTCCTCTTGTCTGTGCTGCTGTTTGTGGGGGTGAGGCTATGCAGGAGGGCCAGGGCGTCCACTCTGGGTGGCTGCTCTGTGCCTGATGGCCATTTTCCTGGTCACCTGGTGGATGTCAGCGGGGCAGGGACCCTGTCCCAGAGCTACCAGTATGAGGTATGTCTGATGGGCGATTCTTCTGGGACCAGCGATTTTAAATTATTACAGCCAGTTCTTCCTAGCTCCTTGGCCCAGTCCTCTGGGAAAGAAATGGTGGAAAATTCTACCCTCCAGAATAGTTTTGGATTTAATCATTATTAGAAAACTACTTAGTAGATATTTACTTCCTAATATTGTCTTGTTGGTTAGCTATATTTTGTATACCTGTTACTAACAATTTTAATTTTCACTTTACTCATCGGTTTTCAGGTTTATGCTTAATGTCATGGTTTTACTCTCATCTATCGCACAGAATTTCTTCATGGGATCCCAGTAAATGAGAAGGCTTTGTCTGCACAGTTAAACTGATTGTTAAAATTGTTTCTACCACTTTGCTTTTGTTGGCTTCATTAGTTCTGCACACTTCATGCCAGGGTTCTGTTCCTAGACTTCTTGAATTCTTAGAATATTATGCTGCTTGTTGTGTTCATATATACTAGGTATTTCTGCATTTCCTTTCTATACTAGAAGTCTTGTTTTTTAGTCCTTGGTTCTCATTATATAAAATAGTTGTTTTCTACTATGCTAGTATATTAAAGTTCTATTTTTCTTTGTTTATATATCTTGATTTAAGATCTATTTATGTCAAAGTAATAGAAGCATGTAGTCAATCTGAAAACAAAAGTATCATAAGATAGTGAGTTTGTGTTGATTGACTTTATTTGTGGGCGTGAAGGCAAATGTTGGCATTATAAAGCATCAAATAAGAGCATTTAATAATTTGTCTTATTACTATACATTACTATAAATTACTAAATAATTTGTCTTAATTCTGCATGGAAACCTTAGAGATAGACATTGAGTTTTCAATGGCTTACAATCCAGTTGCATTCTTTTGAATAAACAGTGTATTATATCACCAAGTACCTGTTGTGACTTTTCTATGCAACAGAGCTGGGGTCTGAGGCACTATCTAATCTTGTACACGTACACGTCTTAAGGTTTAGTCTCTATCATTTGCTTATAGTGGAAAAGAGAACATTTTAGGCCTTTGAGTAAAATTCTTTGTAAGGAAGATATTTTATTGATATACCCCTGCATTCAGCATCATTAG